TGTTACTGCCCTATGCCGTAAACAATGCAGCCCCACAGCAGCCTGTGGCAACCCGCTTTGTGCGCATGAAGTACAGCCCCATGCAAACGCTTTCCAGGCTAAATCCCTGCTTACATTTGACAAACCCTGCTTAGGTGTGGTCCTCTGGTAGCGAAAAGGATGCCACGCTGTTAAAAAGGGGATAGTTTCCGTAGAAACAGCGAGAAGCCTGCGATCATCATCGCCACACTTGCACACCACGGATTTCACGGGTGCAGGTGGGGGGGGGGGCGAGATGGTGAGGGTGGAGGTGGTGAGGAAGGGAGCAAGGAGGGGAGTGAGAACGCGCAAAGAGGTAGCGAGGAACTGAAGCTGTTTACGGGGAATGAGGTGGTGAGGAAGGGAGCAACAAGGAGGGAGCGAGGTGAGGAGGGTGACAGTAGCGGGGAGGGAGCGAGGTGAGAGTGAGAGGAGAGGCGGCGATGAGGGGACGAGGAGGGAGCCGGTTGCTCCCCAGACAGCTCTGCTCTGGGAGGAAGGAATCGGACACCGGGGAGCGAGGAGGCATCGTTACCAAGGGCTGGATTGACGTCACGTGCCCGATGGGGAAAGCCTCGGAAACATCTGATAATAATCGCCTAACCCCATCCACTCCCCACGGACTCACCGAGCCATCTTCCCTGCCGCCGCCTGTCCCTCAACTCCCCCCACCACCACCACCGCCACCACCCCTCCCATCACACGGGGGGGGGGGGGGCTTACAGTAGCGCGTACAGTGGAACCACTTAACGCAGGCGAACAGTGTGGGCGGGTGCCGCTAACGAGCGAGACGGGCGTGCTGATGATGAGGAGGAGAGGGCGGCGAGTGGGGGGACCGGGAGGGCGTTCTGACGGTCCACGTAGGAGGAAGACGATCGTACACATAGGGACAACAACGCATCGCTCCGGTTCTCTTCAGCAGGACGTCGCACATACGTGCACGGCGGATAGACCCATCACACGCAACTCGCCACGCAAGACATCACCGGACCCATTACAAAAAGGAGACGCACATCGAGCACAAAGCCGAAATCGCACACACAAAAAAAATCACGGATGCGCACACGCACACCACGCATTTAAACACATTACCACGCACACCCTGCAAAAACCCTGTCGCTCAAGTTCTCACACAGGCTCATCACGGACATTGAACATGGGCCCATCACACACACAACCGTCAGACATATCAAAGGCTATTCGCAGACACCACAACACGCACACAAAACCGACCCAGGTCGCCCTTGCAATAGGAGGCAATGCTGTTTAATCCGTCTCAATGGTTTCATAGCCTCTCCCAGTTAATTAAATACAGGATATAAAAACGTCAATCGCATGCATCCATAGCACACACACACACCCATACCCATAAAAGAACACAACCGCACCCACACAACCATATACAGTACTGTACTCGATCCACATCATTTATCCGATAACAACCATCAATGATTTTTCGTCTTAATGGCTTCTTGCTCATCTAGTCCTGATAAACAACATTTACAGATGGTATCAAGCCACTGCCGAGTAATGGCCTGCTATTGACAGACATCAGTTGTGGGGAATGTTTGAGCATACTTCACCACGCTGGTCAGTGCGGGCTGGTGAAGGGGCGATCCAGGACCGGTTCAGATACTCACCACGGCTGTCAGCCGTGGCCAGGAATCAAACTAGGTCATTACCTTGTTTATGTTATTGGTTCGTGCTGACGCAAGTGGTATCGGTTCAAATGGTGAACCGAAACCACGAAAATTAAGGATATGAAAATCAGCACGATTAGACCAGTTCAATGATGGTAACACTTTTGCTTTTGATATACTGTAGCACCCTATAATGCTGGGGGAAGCGGGGTTTCACAAAAACCTTTTACATAACATCTCAGATATTTTTCAAGTGCACCCCCAGTGGCAGCTGCCCCAGTGGGCACAAGGAGACTCAGCGCAATCTGCCAAAATAAGGGGGAGGGGTGGGTGGCAATAATTGCTACATGCAAATCGCAATTGAGAAATTAAGATTGTTTTTGACCGATTCTGGCTCATCTGCTCTTGTACGGGCAGGTCCCACTCCCACCCTCACGCACCCACCTTCATGAGAGAAGTGCAGCCGCACAGAGAGCTCTCAAGGGACCTGTCGTAAGCCACACTAATCCAAGCAACCGTATTTTTCACCCCAATAGCCGCACGAACAGCCATAAACCAAATAAACACCAAAACAACCACACTAAAATCTAACAACATGAATGAATACAGAAGCCGAATGTAATTTTTTTCTCCTGGAGAAAAAACGTTTAACAATGAAGCTTTTTTTCAGAGATGTCCCGTCGGGATAACCAAACCACCTCGTAACCACATTATGAATCTTACTGAATGCACCAGTGCATAATCACATCATTACCCTCAACAATCACATCCGACACACTCATTAACCACACGAACAAAAATCATTGTAACCCAAAAACCGTAACCACAACGCCAACATCAATACATGATAACCAGACTACTCCAGACCCATATCATTAACCACAACAATCTTATCATTTTCCAAGATAACCAATTCATATAACACAATAACCTAATCATTCAACAGAAGCGGACTATACCACCAAACACATCAGTTACCAGAAGCACAATATAAAAAAAACCACCATACGACCCCATAACCACAATTTACAATTAACCACAATAACTGGACAGCCCAAAATCCACCATTAACCAGAATAACCGGGAAACCCAAGCAACCACAAACGAACCACCCCACCCACCACCGGCAACCACCCCCACCCACCACCGGCAACCACCCCCACGCACCACCGGCAACCACCCCACCCACCACCGGCAACCACCCCACCCACCACCGGCAACCACCCCACCCACCACCGGCAACCACCCCACCCACCACCGGCAACCACCCCACCCACCACCGGCAACCACCCCACCCACCACCGGCAACCACCCCACCCACCACCGACAACCACCCCACCCACCACCGACAACCACCCCACCCACCACCGACAACCACCCCACCCACCACCGACAACCACCCCACCCACCACCGACAACCACCCCACCCACCACCGACAACCACCCCACCCACCACCGGCAACCACCCCACCGACAACCACCCCACGCACCACCGGCAACCACCCCACGCACCACCGGCAACCACCCCACCCACCACCGGCAACAACCCCACCCACCACCGACAACCACCCCACCCACCACCAGCAACCACCACACCCACCACCGACAACCACCCCACCCACCACCGACAACCACCCCACCCACCACCGGCAACCACTACACCCCCACCACCGGCAACCACCACACCCCCACCAGCAGCAACCACCCCACCCACCACCACCAACTATCCGCAACCACCTCCAACCACCCGCAACCACCTCCAACCACCTCCAACCACCAGCAACCACCTCCAACCACCAGCAACCACCAGCAACCACCAGCAACCACCTCCAACCACCTCCAACCACCAGCAACCACCAGCAACCACCAGCAACCATCCCACCCACCAGCAACCAGCCCACCCACCACCACCAATCACCACACCCCCAGCTACCACCGCACCTCCCACCACCAGCAACCACCCCACCCCCCACTACCAACAACCCCCCCCTCACCAGCAACTCCCCCCACCACCAGCAACCCCCCCACCAGCAACCCCCCCACCACCAGCACCCCCCCCCCCACCACCACCAGCACCCCACCACCACCAGCACCCCCCCCCACCACCAGCACCCCCCAACACCAGCACCCCCCCAACACCAGCACCCCCCCAACACCAGCACCCACCAACACCAGGACCCCCACCACCAGAACCCCCACCACTAGCACCCCCACCAACACCTACCACCACCAGCAACCACCACCAGCAACCACAGCAATCATCAGTAACCACCACACCAGCAATCACCAGCAACCACCACACCAGCAATCACCAGCAACCAACTACCCCAGCCACCACCAACCAACTACCCCAGCCACCACCAGCAACCAACTTCCCCAGCCACCACCACCAACCAACAAACTACCCCAGCCTCCACTACCACACTACCCCAGCCGCCACCACCACCCAACCACTTACCCCAGCCACCACCACCACCAACCACTTACCCCAGCCACCACCACCACCAAGCAACTACCCCAGCCACCACCACCACCAAGCAACTACCCCAGCCACCACCACCAAGCAACTACCCCAGCCACCACCACCACCCACCAACTATCCCAGCCATCACCAGCAACCAACTACCCCAGCCACCACCACCACCACCAAGCAACTACCCCAGCCACCACCACCACCAACTACCCCAGCCACCACCACCACCCACCAACTATCCCAGCCATCACCAGCAACCAACTACCCCAGCCACCACCACCAACTACCCCAGCCACCACCACCAACTACCCCAGCCACCACCACCACCAACTACCCCAGCCACCACCACCACCCACCAACTATCCCAGCCATCACCAGCAACCAACTACCCCAGCCACCACTACCAACCACCCCACCAACCCCACACACCCACCAAATACCACCCCCACCAACAACCACCCACCACTCACCCCCAGCAACAACCACCAGCAACCACCCCACCGGCACCCATCCCACCCCACCCACCACCACACCCACCAACACCAACCACCGCACACACCAACCACCGCACCCACCAACCAACACCAACCACCCCACACACCAACCACCCCACCACCAACCACCCACCCCACCACCACTAACAGCAACCACAACCAACTACCCCAACCCACCAACCAACCACCCACCACCACCACCGACCACCACCACCAACCAACCACCACCACCAACCAACCACCACAACCAACCACCCACCACAACCAACCACCCACCACAACCAACCACCCACCACAACCAACCACCCACCACAACCACAATAACCGGACGACCCCAGCCACCCCCCACCCCGTAGCCGCGCATCCTCTGCTCACCGCTCCGCCGTGTCGCCTCCCGCGTCCCTCCCACTCCGCCGCGCTCTCTCTCTACCGCCGAGGTGAACAGCAGCAGTGTGGCCGCTCGCGGGGCTCATGGTGCGGGGCTGTGCGCCGCGTCCGCCATGTCAAACGCGACGGCGAAGAAGACGACGAGGAGGATGATTGGGACGAGGATGATGATGATGATGAGAGGAGACGACGATGACGAGGAGCAGGAGGACGACGAGGAAGATGGAGCCCGCTTACATTTCCCAGCGCGGATGGGCAAGCGCGCCGCGCCCATTGGCCCACGCAGTCACAAGCGGGCGTGAGCGCCGACACGGAGCCGTGCTCATTGGCCCGCCGGCGCGCACGTGACGGGCTCGCGGCCAACGGGCGCGGAAAGGCGCGCCCCGATGGCCCCCTTCGGCGCTTATCCGCTGTGGGGAATGAGGCCGCGCTCCATCACCCCACCACCACCACCACCCCCCGTGTGTTGAACCGTGTGTGTGTGTCTTGTACATCTGCCTGTATCTTGTAAGTCTGCTTGTCTCTTGTACGTGTGTCTGTGTGTTGTACATGTGTGTCTGTCTGTGTCTTGTACATGTGTGTCTGTCTGTGTCTTGTACATGTTGTCTGTCTGTCCTGTACATGTGTCTTGTTCATGTGTGTCTGTCTGTGTGTTGTACATGTGTCTGTCTGTGTGTTGTACATGTGTCTCTGTCTGTGTGTTGTACATGCGTCTCTGTCTGTGTGTTGTACATGTGTCTCTGTCTGTGTCTTGTTCATGTGTCTGTGTCTTGTACATGTCTGTCTGTGTCTTGTATGTGTGTCTGTGTCTTGTACATGTTGTCTGTCTGTCCTGTACATGTGTCTTGTTCACGTGTCTTGTTCATGTCTGTATGTGTTGTACATGTGTCTCTGTGTGTTGTACATGTGTCTGTGTCTTGTTCATGTGTCTGTCTGTGTCTTGTTCATGTGTCTCTGTCTGTGTCCTGTACATGTACATGTCTTGTACATGTTGTCTGTCTGTCCTGTACATGTGTCTCTGTGTGTCTTGGCAATGGGTCTGTCTATGTGTTGTACATGTGTCTCTGTGTGTTGTACATGTGTCTCTGTGTGTTGTACATGTGTCTCTGTCTGTGTCTTGTGCATGTGTCTCTGTCTGTGTCCTGTACATGTCTTGTACATGTTGTCTGTCTGTCCTGTACATGTGTCTTGTTCATGTGTTGTACATGTGTTGTTCATGTGTTCTACATGTGTTGTACATGTGTCTCTGTCTGTGTCTTGTTCATGTGTCTCTGTCTATGTCCTGTACATGTCTTGTACATGTTGTCTGTCTGTCCTGTACATGTGTCTCTGTGTGTCTTGTTCATGTGTCTCTGTCTGTGTGTTGTTCATGTGTCTCTGTCTGTGTGTTGTTCATGTGTCTCTGTCTGTGTCCTGTACATGTACATATCTTGTACAAGTTATCTGTCTGTCCTGTACATGTGTCTCTGTGTCTTGTTCATGTGTCTCTGTCTGTCTTGTTCATGTGTCTCTGTCTGTGTCTTGTTCATGTGTCTCTGTCTGTGTGTTGTTCATGTGTCTCTGTCTGTGTGTTGTTCATGTGTCTCTGAGTGTCTTGTTCATGTGTCTCTGTCTGTGTGTTGTTCATGTGTCTCTGTGTGTTGTTCATGTGTCTCTGTCTGTGTGTTGTTCATGTGTCTGTCTGTGTGTTGTTCATGTGTCTCTGTCTGTGTGTTGTTCATGTGTCTCTGTCTGTGTCTTGTTCATGTGTCTGTGTCTGTGTCCTGTACATATACATGTCTTGTACATGTTGTCTGTCTATCCTGTACATGTGTCTCTGAGTGTCTTGTTCATGTGTCTTGTTCATGTCTGTCTGTGTCTTGTTCATGTGTCTCTGTCTGTGTGTTGTTCATGTGTCTCTGTCTGTGTCCTGTACATGTCTTGTACATGTTGTCTGTCTGTCCTGTACATGTGTCTCTGTGTGTCTTGTTCATGTGTCTTGTCCATGTGTCTTGTACATGTGTCCTGTACATGTGTCCTGTACATGTGTCTGTCTGTGTGTTGTTCATGTGTCTCTGTCTGTGTCTTGTTCATGTGTCTTGTTCATGTGTTGTACATGTGTTGTACATGTGTCTCTGTCTGTCCTGTACATGTGTTGTACATGTGTCTCTGTCTGTGTCTTGTTCATGTGTCTCTGTCTGTGTCCTGTACATGTACATGTCTTGTACATGTTGTCTGTCTGTCCTGTACATGTGTCTCTGTGTGTCTTGTTCATGTGTCTTGTTCATGTGTCTGTCTGTGTGTTGTACATGTGTCTCTGTCTGTGTCTTGTTCATGTGTCTCTGTCTGTGTCCTGTACATGTGACTGTGTGTCTTGTTCATGTCTCTGTGTCCTGTACATGTCTCTGTCTGTGTCCTGTACATGTGTCTCTGTCTGTGTCTTGTTCATGTGTCTGTCTGTGTGTTGTTCATGTGTCTCTGTGTCCTGTACATGTGTCTCTGTCTGTGTCCTGTACATGTGTCTGTCTGTGCCCTGTTCATGTGTCTCTGTCTGTGTCTTGTACATGTGTCACTGTCTGTGTCTTGTACATGTGTCACTGTCTGTGTCTGTGTCTTGTACATGTGTCTGTATCTTGCACATCTGTCTGTCTTGTATCTACCTGTGTCTTGTATCTGTGCGTGTACCTGTGCGTGTGTGCGTCTTGGTATTTGTGCGTGTGTCTCTCTTGGTATCTGTGCGTGTGTCTTGGTATCTGTGCGCACGTGTGTGTCTTTGTATCTGTGTCTTGTAAATGTATGTGCGTGTGTCTTGTATCCGTGCGTCTGCCTTGTATCCGTGTATCAGATTCCCGCTCATGGTCAACACCAGTGACGATTTATCAACCGGTCCTGGGCCTCTCCTAGGTCGACTCGGCCTCAAACGAGTCCCTGGTGTGGTGTAACCATCACCACTGGGGAGTCAAAATCGACCAGGCGTGATGTTGGCCACCCACCCGCTCACGTGCTGTGGCGGCCTTCATAGGCGTTCGCTAACAGCACTTACCCCGACAGACTGTTAAGGCTATACAGGGGAGCTTTGTATTGTGTGAGAGATGTAGGGTCTAACCCGACCATCAAAACGAAAACGACACTTGGATCTCCAGTATTATTCACGCACACCCAGTCACTGTACTACCTACCTTTTGGGTTACTATACAGATAGCTATGGTGACAGCCTAGGGAGAACTTCATCCAGCAGTGGATTATGGCTGTCGATGACAAACGCATTAATCACGAATATATCTATAGTAGTCACTAAAGCAGGCACGACGGTGGCTGAGAGATGTTAACTCCATCGCCTGGTATACTGGAGGTCGTGGGTTCGATCCCAACCCTAAAAGCTGTATATTTAGAGTTTGGATGTTCTCTCCGTGGTCCAGTGCATTTTTCTTCGGGTCCTCCGGGTTTTCCCTCCACATTTAGAGATATGCGTTTAAGAGTATTTAGCTGCTATACATTTCCACATGATAAGCCACTTAGCTGGGAAATCATTTGTGGTCAGGTCGCTTTTGAAACAGAGCGAAATAGCTCAGTGTGCGTTAGCTGGTAAAATAAAAGATAGTTCAGTTTACGTATTAAAATATCCAGTCTCACGTTTCGGCTCCTCGCCTTCAGCAACCCACGCTGACCAGTATAGCGAAGGATGGTCAAACAACCCCCATGATCGACAGTGCGAGGAAGCCTTCATCCAGCAGTGGACTGATAAATGGCTGCTGTGCATGTGATTACATAAATGGTGCGATTGCACTCAGCCTATTCGCTATACAGGTAGTCTTATCTACAGATAGTAGTATTGAATCAATCACACACATTAGGTGGATCTGTAGCGCAGTAGTTAGCACACTGCACTGTGAAACCGGCGAACCCCAGTTTGATTCCCAGCCAAAGCGAACACGAGTGGTGAGTGAGGTCTGAACCGGTCCTGGTTCTCCCTTCAACCCATACTGACCAACGGGGAGAAGTATGGTCAAACAACCCCCATGACCGATAGGGTGTGAAGAGGCCCTCATCCAGCAGTCGACTTACATGTACTATTCACAAAATTATCTAAGACAACTCTACACATATACCCGTAAAATCACAGTCTGTACACCATACTATCCAGTCACTTTAGTCACTCAGGGGTAGAGCAAAAGGCTCGTGGCTCGTAATCGTATGGTTGCAAGTTCAAATCCTTGTCACGGGTTAACTCGTCCCATACTCATTCCAAGGGTGGATACGAGTTTGTAATTGTTTGGGGGAAGTCAAGTGGTTGTCCTATGGATACTCGTTCCTTATTGTGCAGTCACTTTACATACACACATACCCATATTATTCCACTTGTACATTAGCTATACAATGACAAGACAGACAAATACTATATTCACTGTACCATCATCTACAGTTACTACCCTATGGATTCATGTCACCAGTCTACAATATTCCATGGTTCACACTGTACACCACATGCCTTCAGGACAGAAAACAATGCCAAGCGCTCTTGCCAATAAACGACACTCAAATAACATCTGCCAACCCATCAGCATTTTTTACCATGCCCGACTGCTGATGAGCTTCTGAAGCATGAAACCAGCCCATTGTCTACTTAATTGTCGTTGGTTAAATAATACAAGCCTGGAAATACCATAGACCGATGGGACTCAGAATGATATGTTATATTCGTGTGGCTTTGCACAAACACACGCGATGCAATCACGCAACCAACTCACTTGGGGACCAGGTGTAGGCAGATGTGTGAAAAGGTCAGATATGGGAACATCAATCAAAAATGACAGTCAGGTGACAGGGCAAATAAAGCGCAAGTTTCTCTGAACACGGTGAAAGGCGGCGACGTGATTTCAAGTAAAACGAATGTACACGAGATTAAGAACACGTGACCGTATGTGACGGAGGTCCCATTTGTGAACGTCTACACTGAGTAACACCTATACACAGTGCACTGGTGTGCGGGAAAGGGGGGGTTTAATTGGCCATGGCGGCGATGTGAGATGTACTGGATATCAATGCAGATTGTATCGCTTCACACCACGATAAAATCCATAGGTTCACGTGACTGCAGACCCGGGTTGGGAAACCTTTTCTTTAACCGAGAGCTTAATATTATTTTTTGGGTTTTTAAACACCTTTGGCGAGCTACATGGTATGGTACCGTGTGCCAAACAAATAAACTGCCTTCAGGTTTAAAATGCTCCCCCCCCCCCCCCCCTCTCATACCCGGTTCGTACAGCTG